TGTGAGGTAGGTATTATTACACAGAGTGCAAAGGAAGAGACTGAAGGGCAGAGAGATTAAGACCACTCATCTTAGAAATAGCAGAGCCGGGTTGTGATTCCCAGGCTCACAGGAGCCAGAAATGAGAAAACAAGATCTGTAAAGACATTTATGAGTGTTTTACAGTTGTTCTCTTAATCACCATTCTTATTTTATATCTTTCCTAGTTCATGAAGTTTGAAGTCTGAATGTATATTTTAAACAAGATGTCTTGTTTTTCTTCCTAAGATTGTTAAGTATAGTATTCCTAATTTCGCTATACATTTTCTCCAGTGTTATTTCGGAAAGGCACTAAAAATTGGATATATTTTCACGTGGAGTGCCTACTGTCTCCCTCTGGTGTCAGCTAAGAGTCTGTCTGCTTATAAAGGAGCTCATGTGTGACCACATTTCAAGTTAATGAATTCAAGTTTCAAGTCAAGTTCATCAAGAGGCAATTGTTTTCTTCAAATTTCACAAATATTCTATTAAGGGTCGAACATAATCTAAGTTTTATAATATTAGAGAACAGTGAATGTGAGTTTATTGTTTAAATTATTTTTTAAGGGACCCAAAGAGACATTTCACAAGATAAGACTAACTGGCAAAACAAAATGTTTGTGTGTGTGTGTGTGTGTGTGTGTGTGTGTGTGTATGGCTTCCCAGGCAGCACTAGTGGAAAAGAACCTGCCTACTAATGCAGGAGATGTTAAGAGATGCAGGTTCAATCCCTGGGTTGGGAAGATCCCCTGGAGGAGGGCATGGCAACCTACATCAGTATTCTTGCCTGGAGAATCCCATGGACAGAGAGCTTTGGGGGGCTATAGTCCATGGGGTTGCAAAGAGCCAGACATAACTGAAGCGACTTAGCATGCATGTATGTATGTATACACACACACGTGCATACACATATATATGAATGAAAATGTTCAGTCTCCCAATGATAAAAAGAAATCCAAATTAAAACAATAATATGGTAGCACTTTATGCTAACACTTAAGCAAATCTTTATCTAAGCAACACCAAATTCTTTGAGAGCAAAATAAAACATATACTTTCATGCTTTGCTGTGGTTTTTTGGATGTAACCATTTGGAAGAGTAATTTAACAATATGCAGACAAAGCTGTAAAATCATGTACACTCTTTGATCCAATCATCCTATATCTAGATATAGTTTAAGACAACTACTTCAGAAGGAGGCAACAGCTATTTGCTTGTAGGTGTACATTTCAGCATTGATTGAAATAGTGAAATATTATTATAAGACCATAATCTTGACTGATTTATAGAAACTAAATAAAGAAGGGCAGGAAGAACATTTGGGGGATGGGGGGGATACAACTAAGAAAGACAAAAGTGAATTAAACTCATGGAACTGCAAGTGTATTGATATGAGAACACAATGGGAGACCATGATAAGAAAAGAGCCCAGTGAGGTAGGCAGGAGCTAGACCCCACAGCTAAGCTAAGAGCAGTTGAGAGATGTTGAGGGAGGTCATCAGGAGGATGTGATCACACCAGTTGACCCTTGAAATGGACCCAAGCAACTGAAGGCTCCTCAATCCTCCCGGCCTTGAAATGAACTAGGAACTTGTCCCTGAACTAGGAGCCCCTTCAAGGATGCAGCCTTAAGAGAGTAATGTGTTACAAAGACTATCTGGACTATATTCCTGGCTGAATCCTGTTAAGACTGCTACATAAACAAGATTATGGTGGACAGGGATTGGCTTGTCTTGTAGCTGCATAAAACAAGCCTCATACATGAGTTCCCTTGCTTATTAAAACTGCCACTCATTAATCTGGAGTGGTCCACCTCTTTTTTCAGTCTCCTCTTGTCCTCTTGCCTTATATGCAGAGTATATCATGAGAAATGCTGGACTGGATGAAACACAAGCTGGAATCAAGATTGCCCGGAGAAATATCGATAACCTCAGATATGCAGATGACACCACTCTTATGGCAGAAAGCAAAGAAGGACTAAAAAGCCTCTTGATGAAAGTGAAAGAGGAGAGTGAAAAAGTTGGCNGCGACTTCACTTTCACTTTTCACTTTCATGCATTGGAGAAGGAAATGGCAGCCCACTCCAGTGTTCTTGCCTGGAGAATCCCAGGGACAGCGGAGCCTGGTGGGCTGCTATCTATGGGGTCGCACAAAGTTGGACATGACTGAAGCGACTTAGCAGCAGCAGCAGCCACCATAAAATGAAAAAAAAGGCAAGAAGAACCAGAGATGTCACAGATGGTGCTATTACACTTAAGGTCCACAAGGTAGGTCTTAAAGCACGTTCATCCCAACACTGGGATCTCTATGTGAATACCGAACTTGTTTTTGACTTTTGAGCACACTGCTGGTGAATCCATCTGCCCCGCTCATTACAATAAACTGACTATCCTCTACAGGGAATTCCAGAGAGCTTCTGTCCGTTGATGCCTGGGGAATCTGCCAACTACACTGTGTGCAAGGCACTATGTCTTGTCACCAAATAAAACACCTATAAGAGAGCTTTTACAAGGACACATCTGAAAACCAGAGGTTCTTTTCAGAGCTACTCATGCTTTCTGCTTAAGAGTTGAGTCTACTCATCTGTTTATGGGTTTGGGACTCTTCTCTAATTTAATAAAAAATGTGTTTATTTTTTCAATAATCTTTCTAACTTGGGATAATTTTAGATTTAACATAAAAGTTATACAGATAGTTCCCATATACCTCTGTTTCCTCTATTGTGAACATTTATGCATTTGTCACAACTTAGAGCTAACACTGGCACTTTACTGTGAGTTAAACTCTAAATTTTGTTTGGAATTCATTAGATTTTATCTAATGCTGTTTTTCTGTCCCAGGATCCAATATAAAATAGAGTTGACTTTTGCACAACTAGAGTTTGAATTTGTACGCAGATACTTTTCAATAGTAAACATTACAGGGCTATGCAGTCTGTTGCTGCATCTGTGGATGTGAAGGAACCTTGAATATGGATGGATGCTGACTATAAATTATATGCTGATTAATCCCCAGGTTGTTTTATATAGCATTATGTCTCCTTAACTGCTCTGGGCTAACAGTTTCTCAGAATTTCCTTGTTTTTGATGACCTTGGTGATTTTGAGGACTCATATTCTAAAGAATGTCCCTCAATTTGGATTTGTCTGATGGTTTTCTCATGTTTAGTCTGAGATTATGGGTTGTTGGAAGACTAGATGCCTGAATTGCCCTTCTCAACACATCATATTAAGGGCACATGCAAACAATGTGGTGTATCACTTATGTTAACACTGATCACCTAAGGTAGTGTTCCAGGTTTCAGTAAAGTCACTCGCATTCTCCCTGGCTTTTGCATGCTCCACTTTAAGCCTGGGGAGTTAAGGTCCAGCTGCTTGACGGAGGACCATTTATTCTATTTGGAATTCTTCTGTTTTGGAAATTTTTCACATATCCCTCATTTAGCCAATCACATCAGCATCCTTGGATTTTAAAATTTCACATTTTAAAGTTTTTAATACCATGTTCTAAACATAATCTAGTTTTGTTCAATGTATCTGTATGAGTTTCCTTTTTCCTTTTCAGTTTTCAAAATTTCCCTTCCTTTTGTGCCCTCCTCAATTGCATGCCTTTATCTACGTACATTAAGACCTGAGTCTTTTTCATAACTTGATTGTCCTTCATCAACATATGGAAGTTTACTTTCTTTTTTCATTTATGTTTATTAGCTGGAGGCTAATTACTTGGAAGTTTACTTTCATCTTTTAACTTCTTACGGTACTCTATACTTTTCTTCGTACCTATCTCTGTATGTCTTATGTGTAGCTCTCGTGTCTAAAATGACTTAAAAAAAAAAAAACAAACAAAAAAAACCGGTGACTCTTCCTCCTTGAAATAGGGCAAACTGCTGAATCTTGTGTAAGTCTGACAATCGTTCATTTGCTTTCCAATTTTTCTTGGTGTTTATTATAGATCAAGTGAAGCCACTGTTGTGTAAAGGCTAAATCTCTTGAAAAATTTGCCCAAAACTCCGTAATGATTTCAATGACACATGTGATATATTCCTACCTCTAGAGATGCTAGTATCCCTCTCTCCCCTACATATGCCATTAAGGTTTTTGATGGACATTACATTTTAAGACATTTTCTCTACACGTGTTAAGTCAAGAGATTGTCAAATACTCACCAAAATGAGCCATAAAAAGGGTATTAGAATGAAGCTTTTCTCCTCTCGCCTGATAAGCATCTTAAGGGCCCACAAAACAGCTTCAAGGAACCTTAAGTGTTCGAATTAACATTCAAATAATTTCGTAGTACAAAGGTTGTGGTTACTAGAAAATTTTGGCAGCCTATTGCTGGAAAACTGCAATTTACAGGCCCACTCGATGTCACAGCCCTCACTGATATATTTGAGTGGCTCTGAAAAGAGCCTTTGGTTGCCGTCAGTTTACCAGACATTTGGATTGCTCACTGGCATTCTGCACTATGATTACTAGCTCTGTACTTTGTGATGGTGGCTCTCGGTCTTTTTGGGTAGCAGCACAGCCTGGATATTGGGCATGACACCCCCCATGAGCTTGTTAACCTCATCATTACGAATGGCCAGCTGCAAATGGCGAGGAATGATGCGGATCTTGTTGTCACGTGGTGCATTACCTGCTAATTCTAAGATCTCAGCCGTTTTAGTCGAACACTGCTGCCAAGTGTACTGGCGCACCTGCCCCAACGCGCTCGGCGTAGTTGCCCTTGCGTAGCGGGCAGTGGGTCCTGCCCACCAGAAACCGCACACTTGCTTTGGATGAGCGAGTTTTTGTTTTCCCACAGGCCTATGCCGCCTTGCTTGCCGCGACCCGACATAATCTCAGAACAAAATGGTGATACGCCTCAAAAAACTTCCAACAAACCTTACTGGACCTATTTATAGTCTGACGGTAAGTTGTGCTTTGCTTTCTGATTGGCTGATGGCTAGCCAATCAGCAAAGCTCAAGCAAATCACCTCATTTACATACACGACAGTCCCAGATATCCAATCAGACGTTGGCCTCTTGATACGTCACTTGAGCGCCATTCCTATAAATACCACTCTTTCCAACCGCGTAAACGTCTTTGATTTTTCGGCGTGCGTGGGAATTGTTTTCTCCGTGATTAGCTGTTCATACTATAAGGAGCTGCTAACGCTAAAAAGAACTGGTAACACTGAAGAGCTATTGATACTAGTCATGCCGGAGTTGTCTTCAAAGGGTGCTGCTATCTCCAAGAAAGGGTTTAAAAAAGCCGTTACTAAAACTCAGAAGAAAGAAGGGAAGAAGCGCAGGAGATGCAGAAAAGAGAGCTACTCAGTATATATCTATAAAGTCTTAAAACAAGTTCACCCGGATACTGGTATTTCATCGAAAGCTATGAGCATCATGAATTCCTTTGTCACTGACATCTTTGAGCGTATTGCTGGTGAGGCATCGCGCCTGGCGCATTACAACAAGCGTTCAACCATTTCATCTAGGGAGATCCAGACAGCTGTGCGCCTGCTGCTGCCGGGGGAATTGGCTAAACATGCCGTGTCTGAAGGCACCAAGGCTGTTACTAAGTACACCAGCTCCAAATAAACTTGTAAAAATTACTTTTCAGTAACCCAAAGGCTCTTTTCAGAGCCACCTAACACACACTTAAAAAAGCTGTGGGCTCGGTATTCACTTTACATAGCTAGCTAGTAAAGATCTGCTGCAGAAGACTCCGGTTCGATTCCTGGGTCTGGAATGTTCCGGTGATGGCTAGGCTAACCACTCGTGATTTCTTAGTAAAGACTAAGAAAGTAAGTAAAGACTAGTAAAGACTAGGTGTTCAGATGGTAAAGATTGTGCTTGCAATTGGGGAGGCCTGAGTTCGATCCCCTGGAAAAGAGAATGGATACCTAATTACTCCAGTAGTGACTGGAGAATTCCGTGAACAGAGGAGCCTGGTGGGCTACAGTCAATGGAGTTGCAAAGAGTTGGGACTGAGATTACAATAAGCACTAGGATTGATAATTACTCTCGGTTATTCAACACAGGTGCTACTGTATAACTAGTGTTCGCAAAAGGCCCCAATGAATTCAGAAAAGCTTGATGATATACAACGTAAAACTGTCTCAGAATAGTGGATTTAGGAAGGCTATTTGGGCTTTCGTTTCTATGAATGACTTTTTAAAAAAAACTTCTATGAAAGGCCCAAAGCTGTGCAGAGATCTAGAAAGGGAGTGTGATAAAAGGAATAGAACATTAACACATTAAGGGTAGCTTTTTTCCACTGTTGGTGTTTAAGGTGGGACCCTCTGGGCCAGCCTAATTCTAAAGGTTAAGCACGTAGGCTTTTTTTTTGCCCTAATGGCACACCCTTGTATGCTGTTCAGTGCCTCTTATCCCTGGAATGTGGGAATACTGCCATCACCTATATTGTAACGCAACAACCTGGCTACCCAAAATTGACTAGGAAAGAGTAACAACCTCTTTTTGATCCACCCGCCCCCCCCAAAGATGGCATGATCATTTGTGGGTGTTTATGTTGTGTGATGAATCAATAAAAATGTGCCTTGTATTACTGAACCATGTGGGCTCTGCTCAGCAGACCAACACTGAAGAAACATCAGCGGTAACAGACATTGATCAGAGCCCTGGGTGCATGGCCCTACAGTCTTACTGCCCTTTTCCCGACCCTGGCTTTACTCTCAAGCTGGTCTCAGTTCTAAGTATTCACACAGGTCAGAGGACTACATTTACTTGGGTTTCCAATTAACTAATAAAAGCCTCCTCAGAGGATTTCCTCTCAAATCCCTTTTCGGTAACACCCTAGTCCCAGAAGTTGCCAGAGTCATTCACCTGAAGGGAAATTGGAACCTTGTCATTGATGAGGACAAGTTTAATACATGTGGCATATTTTTAAATTAAATGTAGTTCTAGATAACTTTTCTTTCCACAGTGTATTTCACTATTCATATCTTCCAGCATTTTATTTTATATGAAAGTACTGATTTTTGTGCATCTTTTATATCCTATTGAATTGACTAATTTTCATATTGGCATTCTGATAACAATTCTGTTGGGTTTTACATGTTTGCAATGATGTCTGAAAATACTAAACATTTTACTGATGCTTTTCAGTTAGTTCACTTCTAATTTCTTTCCCCTGATTTCAGTGCCTTGTAGCTTCATAAAGATGTTAAGTAGGGTGGCCATGCTTGTTTTATCCCTCACTTTGCTGAAGATCTGTGCACTATTCCTCATTACATATGTCATACAATGAGGAAGAATTCTCTATCTACTGAGAATCATTAAGTCAAGAATGCATGTTGAAATTTATAAAACATCTTTAGAGCATCTCTGAAGAATAAGCATAGGTTTTCTCTCCTAAGATAGGAGTTATTTTAATAAACTTCCTAATAGTCATTCTTGCATAAACTCTTGCTTGGGCCTCCTATGCTGCTCATTGACTGTTCTGTTGGGCTCTGCTTGCAGTGTTATCATTTACAATTTATGCTTCAATATTGTAGGTTAAATTTATCTCATTTTTTAATGTGTGCAATGTGTACAAATTTTTATTCAATTCATAAAAATAATATGGAGGATCGTTGTCCTTTTAATACTCTGGAACTGAACAGCTTTGGGATTTCTCTTTTCTTTGAAACTCTGGTAAACTTCTCTTTTTGAAACAGTTTGTACCTGGAGCCCCCTTTCAAGTGACAGTTTGACAAGTTTCTCTATTTTTCTATTAAGAGTTGCTAATAATTTGTAATAAGCTTTTGAAAATTATATTTTGCCAGAAAATGCTTTAAAGATTATTTCCACTGTCTTTGTAGTTACAGCTCCTTTATTAGTCTTAATTTTGTATTTGTGTTTTATTTTTCCACAAATGACAATAGCTATTGGTTAACCTTTTAAGTGTATTTACTATTTCTTTATTCTTAATTTATTAATTTTACTGTTTTCTTTTTCTAATTATTTTTCTTGTTCATTGTTTATCCTTTCTGCTTCCACTGGTTCATGTTATTTTTGTTTTTCCTAGTTTTTATTTAGCAGTATGCTCATTTTGTAGTGACAGGCCTTAGATTGCACAATTTTGATATAAATGAATGCACTTACCATGGTTTAGTTAAATAACACCAACTGCCCCAAAACACAGTTCCAATGTCATTAATGGTGAGTATATGATTGCATAAACTACAGACTTCACTGCTGGCTCTTTAGTTCACAAGTTATTGCACAAGCAACACATACAAACCATGCTCAGTCACCTAATTATATCACTTATTTTAAAATTTGTTATAAACAAGGTCCTATTGTATAGCACAGAGAACTATATATAATATCCTATGATAAACTATAATGGAAAAATATATTAAAAAATGTACATATATAACTGAACCACTTTGCTGTACAGCAGAAATTAACACATTGTAAATCAACTATATTTCAATAAATACTAATTAAAAAATAATGATAAAACATGTTAGCATCTGGTCATTGCACATGTTACTCAGCTTATTCACAAATAGAAAGCATAGTAGTTTAGCTGCCTCCTTGTCTCCCAGTGATGGAGGGACATGACAAGAGTCAATAGTCAGCAAAATGAAAGTAGAACAAAGCAACAAAAAAGTAATAACCCCGGGAGTGGGATTTAAATCAAACATAAATGGAGTTATTGGGGTAGTAGTTGGCAGGGGGAATGTTGACCTTGTCACTATTGACTCTAGCTGTGCAACCAGAGGAACTCTGTGAAGGCCAATTTACATAAATGTAGAAAATGGTTGTGATGAAGAGAAAGTTCCAAAGAGAGTGGCACTGGCAAAATACTTCATATTAAAGGAATTCTCAGAGATAGTTCATGGCACTAAAAATGCAAAGGATAAAATGTTGGAAGCTAATCCAAACTTGAAGAAAGCAAGCACCATCCAAGAAATTACACTTCTCACTGTTTTAATATTTAAAATTACAGTGTCTTTACTACTTTTTCACTTCCCTTTATATGTTTGATAGATGGTAAGAGCTTTTAATGTTTTGATAAAAAAAATTTAAAGATCAGGGAACAATCATGATTTTTCCATTAAGGCTGCTTTGCATAGCCAGTTTTACAATTTCCATACTACCTGAAGGACTGCTTGCATATATATTTTCTAATTTGTTAATTAAATCTATCATTTTTCCTTTGAGCCATGCTTCACTTTATTCCCACCTGTTCTGTAACAGATTCCTTCATTTCCTACTAGGAGCTTGGAAATTATAGAAAGACAAAGCAGCTGGTCAAACTCTCATTCTGTCAGTGATGCAGACCAGATGCAGACCAAGGACCAGCATTATGGAACTTGCTGAAACAAACACAGGCAGTTGGGTTGGGTTTGCAGGCTCTAAAGATCTCTTAATTATGTTAATTTATGTCAGAAAAATAAGAGTATGACTTTGGTTTAAGACAATTCACGTGAAAGCATAGAAAAAAATTTTTTTTCAGGTTGTTACAATATTTAAGAAAGGTGATGTCTTTCCACTCAGATCTCATCTGTCAGTCATACAGAGTTGGCAAGACAGAATTTTCTGAGAAAAGGACTATGGCAAAGTTAGGATTCTGCTTTAAATATAATAATGTTTGGTTTGAGAACTGAGAAAAGCAGACCCTTTAAGTGCTATCCTCCCCAAACACCATCTAGCTGTTAACTTCACCCTAAAATCATTGCAATGGTTACCCACTGAGATTTTCCCTGGAAGCAGAGGAGATGTTTGCTGTCTCTCCCTGATTCTAAGTTGTGGTTCTTCTGTGCCACAAAACAGAGAACATGAGTGGATGCCAGTAAGATAAGGCCTGGGAAAAGGGCAGGGCAACTAGGCCTGTTTAGAAACCCAGATGCTGTAATTACCTTAAAGCCACCATAATGGCTCTGAATCAAGAAAAGGAGAAATTGTTGGTACAGTCCTCAAGAAGGAAACTTTGTAGTCTCATCTCAGATGGGTCTTTGAGGTCTACAGGGCAAGGAAGAAACCAATCCAGGGAGCAGGGCCAAAGGGAGCTAGACCACATAAAGCCCTTACTGCATGAGTCTGGCAGGCTGACACTGCTTAACTCTTCAGTTCAGGGCAAGTCACGGGCAGGTGACTATGAATTTTGTTGTTTTTCTTTACTTTGTTTTCCAAAAAAGTTTTTAAAATTTGTGTTTCCCTTTTCTTCAGTCTTCATTCACTGATTGTGTGTGTGCATGTGTGTGTAAGAAAGAGAGGAGGTCCTTACTCTGTTTCCATTCTAGTTTAGTGAGGCAGACATAAACACACAAGGTCATTTCAGTTGACTATGAATGAGCGAGATAATTAGGTGTCTAAGGAAGGCTTTGTATTCTCTTTAATTTACTCTATAATACTTCTATCCAGATAGTGTGATGTAAATTTTGTGAGTCAAGGTTAAGCTAAACCTTAAATTAAGATCTGTTTGGTAATATGTGAAGTGTCATAGGCTGAACTAAGTCCTGCAAGAGGATATGTCCAAGTCTTAATCTCTGATACCTAAATGTGAGCTTTGTTTGGAAATAGGGTGTAGTTAAGAATTTTGAGATCATTCTGGTAAAATTGAGGGTATCCTTATGAGAGACGGGAGAGGGGTATCAGAGCTGCAAAGCAGAGGACCATATGAACTGAGGCAGACAGAGGTTGGAGTAGTGCAGCTGCAAGCCAAGGAACACCAAAGATTGTCAGCTGCCTCCAGAGGCCAGGTAAGAGACACATAAATAGAACAGATT